CATGACATACCCGTTTTGTGACATTGTTACCATGCGAAAGGCAACCTGAAACGAAATTATTTGCCGACGGTGGTTGATTTCTAGTTTCTCTCCGGGACTTGCATCAACAGGTGACGGGCGATGCGCGTAAAAGCAGCAAGTAGACCTATCACCAACATCCAAAAACCAAAAGAGTGCTGCTATCTTTGAGCTTCTTGCAATACTGCCGGCGTTTCGTCTCGTCGCGGTACAGTGATGAGGTTGGCTTTTGCAAGTTAGTAAGTTTACGATGAAGCTCGCGTCCGCGTGAAGAAGAGATGGATCATGGGCTGATAGGCAAGGTGGGAAGTGAAGCTGGTGACTTTGAAACATGAAAAGGGGATTGGACCTGGAGAAGTGGAATCGAGCAGCGGGCAATTTAAAGTGTGCGTGCAGTAGTAAGTCTTGAATGGGAAACGAAACGAAATGATGGTCGCAGTGCAGGCGGCTGCAAGTCGATGGGAGCACACACTGATGGCATCCAGGGAATAACACAGTCAGTACGACTGCCTTTTATGGAGAAATGTGACCTGAGCAAAAGCCCCGTCTCATGTCATGAGGGTTGGTACCGGGAATGAGGGAAACGACAGACGGCCAAATGTAACAGACGCCAGTCGGAAAAGGGGGTAAAGGCAATGAAGGAGGCTGTGATCAAGCCAGAGTCTTCTTCCTGCATCTGAGCTGGGCGACTCCTACCAGCTTCTTGTATTTTCAAGAGAATTGCGTCGATACGTAGGTAGCCAGGCGCCTCTCTTGCTCAAGACCGACGCCATCACACACACACGGCGTTGTTCACCACAACAATAACGCATATGAGACACTCTCTTCGACCAGGCCACGCTTGCACTTGCACTTGCGTCGACCAACAAAAACCCGCGAGCGCGCGCCTACATCGGATCGAACGCAGCCTTCTGCATTTGGGTGATTATGGTCCCTTCGGTGTACAATAACCTTGCTGGCGCGACACTCCAACTTAATGCCCAGCCAACACCACGACTGGCGATGATGGGACCAAAGAAAGAGTGGGAGAGAGAGGAAGAGCTGCGGAACAGCTTTTGCCCTCCATAGCAGTATGGATGGTGAAAATGACATGGGTCGAGGTGCAGTAGGTTAGGGCAGAGGAGAGGGCCGAATGCTGGGCCTTGACAGCGTACCAGTACATGTACCTGCATGTAAACGGTCGCAGCATCAGCCTGCTCGAAGCTGGGGGTGTAAGGGAATTGTGCAGAATGCATGTCTGCAACTGTGTCTGTTTGTGGAGAGGTAGGCTCATCTTGTCCACGTACCCAGTCCTAGGTTTCTTCTTGATATGCTGCGGAAGGGGAGGGCTAGATAGGGAATGAGGCAGAGGCATCTTCAACGACTGAAATGTCATTGAAGTCCATAACGTGGATACAAAAAAAGGCCTCCGTCACCGCGGCGGTTATCCAAAGGCAGGCAGGCAAGTTGAACAGGTGACATGTGGTCGGGTTGGGCCAGAGAACAGGTGTGACGACGAAAGGAAAGCAGACAGCGATTGACGTACATGTTTGGGACGGGGAGCGAGGTTTCTTCCACGACCGCTTAGGACGTCGAGCGAGTCAATTGATGTCGCACAACGAGTTGGAGAGGTTGTACAGACCGGGTCCAGTGCTGCGGTATTCGGCGTCTTTCTCGTCGTGTGCAGATTGGCCAGGAAATCGATAGGTTGCGAAACGACGAGAGGCGTCGCAGAAGGCGAGAAGCCGTTGGTTGGGTCGGGCTGGGTTGGGGTTGGAGTTTCAGAGCGACCTCGACTTTCTGCGTCGATATCTTGGCGATGAGATGGGCCGACCTGGAAATTATAAGGTAAACGACGTGATAAACCTAGCCAAAATGAGAAGAGGTCGAGGCGATGGCTGAAGCTGTCCAGCCAACTTGAGATGCAAGGACACTGATAATAGGGCGGTAAAATTGGCCAAGATTCGCGGTCAAGGCGCAGATCGAAGGCCGAGGGCTGAGGTTTCGAAGTGTGGTTCTGGTTGTGGTCGTGGGCGAGGACGCTACAGGGTGACGAGATGTGATGCAAGTCGACACGGGCGAGACGAGCTTCAAGCCTCTGTTGGGCAGATTGGGTCAGGTCGGGTTCGTTTTGGCGTCGGGCGGGAGCGGGAGCAGCAGCAGCGATCTGATGGGATGGGATGTATGGAGTAAAAGAAAGGGAATATGTAATCCAGCAGAAAGGCAAGGGAGGTAGGGATGCTCGCTCTTCTCTGTAGTTGTATAGAGGGCAGAACCGCTGGAGCAAGCAAGGAACTCCTGACTAGGTGACCTGACGACGAGGAAAGGTGGTAAACCACGGTGGGTGAGGTACAAATAGCCGGTCGTGTGGGCTACAATCGTACTGCGGCAGATGTGCCTTTACGTCTCTCCACGACGTTGTGAGGGGGACCCTGGACTGGACTAGATCAAGTGAACAAGCGAGAACGGAGTGATGCAGATGGAGAGAAAGACAGCTTCTCTGTTAGTGTCTCCTAGTTATGGCTAGCTGGCTCGCTGGAAGTCCCGGGTGTTGGTGCTTGTCTTTCTGTGCTTTGGCCCTAGAACATTTCTAGAGAACAAGTGGTGGCGTGTGTGTATGCGTGTGTACGTGCACCGGCAAGTGTGAGGTGTAATTGTAGTATCCGTATGCAAGGTCAACGCGGGTATCTGAAGGCTTTGAAAGTCAACGTCGACAAGTACTTGTTGGTGGGGGAGTCGCGTCAAGCAAGTCTAGCTTTAGAGTGGGTGGACCGGCGGACAAACGGTGGCGGCGCCTACGACGCTTTCTGTGAGGTCTGTGGGTGGGAGAGGTGTGAATTGCAGACAGAGCAGGGACTTTCGGATTGAAGGCTAGGCTGCCGGATGCTATTGAATATCGGCTCTTGAGAAGAGGAATGTCGCAAGGTAATCGTGGACTAGAGTTTGCTCTCCGCTTCCCGTAGCTCGGGGGATCGTCCGCTGTTAAGTAGAATTAGTGGGTTTCTTCATCGTCATCTTCTTCTTCTGTTTCTGCCTTTTCCACAGACACCTCTCTCCTTGTCCTCGCGCAAGTGTGTTCTGCCCCTCCCTGTTCCTGGCGCTGGTGCTGGCGCATGCAGTTCCCATGGTTGCTGTGGGATTTTGGGTTGATGCCACCCCTGCCTGGAAACTTGAGGACGCCCGATGTGATGGAGCTGGAGCTGGAGCTGGGACGGGACCTATAACTGGAGATGATGACTTGTAACGTGAAGGCGGGAAAACGCTGACGGACAGCGGGCTGGTGTAATTGCGCTTCCAGGGTCAGTTTCTTCTGCGGACTTCCAGAGCCTTGCCCGTGTCATTGTCGTTGGTCTGTTCGTGGTTCGTCGCCCATCGAAAGGCCTAGCTTTCCACTCGTCCCACTCCATCTGTCTCCATTTCACCATGTCACTTTTTCCCTTGAGAAAAGCACCCCAGGCTCTTCCAATCCCAGCCCGCCATGGATCATGACACTTGGATAAAAGCACGGAAAATGCGGAAAGGGGGCTTGTCTCCTACCTTGAAAGCAATCTTAACCCTGAGCAGGGCCTCCGCGTAATATAGTAGATGAAGAAGATATCGAGAAGCCAGTTCGGACCAGCTCGAAGATGGGCAAGGTATCCGTACTCCGTAGGTCAGGTGTGCGAGGAATGCAAACCGAGTCCGTGTTCCTCAGCTAGCCGGGGTGTTGCACAGATATTCAGCGCCGTGATAGGTGACTAGAGGGAGCAAAATCAAGCTGGCAGAAGACGACTTGCAGCGGGAGATGGGAATGCAAGACAAAGCGCCTGATGGACCGCAACTTTTCAGAAACGGCAAGTTCGATGTGAGGTAGACTGTCTGTACCACGCGGTATGCAGGCTCAATTGGTTGAGAAAGCGAGGTTAGGTAAGGCGGAGGAGTATGAGATGGATGTCAGGTAAGGAGGTTAGGTGAACGAAGACAAGTCAAGGAAGGCGAGGCGTTGGGGTCTGTGCTCCAACGAAGGCGATGGAAAATAAAGGGGAAAGAGGTGGCGGGTGATGGAGGAAGGTAGCACACACGATGTGGAAGCACGGAAGGTGCGAGAGGAAAACTTGGAACCCTCCTTCTGGATCATCCCGTCCTAAAGTATCTTCCATACCTTGTACTCAGCTCCAATGTTTAAGTCTCTCTTTCCTCTAAATCTTCTTGTTCACTCCGCCTCTTCATCTTGCCTAAGGTACCTAAGGTAAGGTACGGATTCCCAACCTTACAGACTTTGACTGACTAAGGTTCTGACGACTGACGACTGTCAACTACCTAGTCTCTTTGTGTCCTGTCGACTTTTCTACCTCTTCTACTGCGGTCAATAACTACCAAGTTGTCAACAACCCTCGGGGTTTCATGGCTTAGTTCACTTTCAAGCGTTGCCTTGAGTTGTGTGTCTCACTGCCTCTACCCTTCTTTCGTGCTCTTCACCGACTCTGTTCTTTCTTCTGCTCTCACTCCCGGTCTCTCCTCTTCCCATCCCACGTTGCCATTACCCATCTTTCCTTCCGTTCCGTAACATGCCCCTCAAGTTTCCTGCCCTACCTATACTTAGCTTTTCGCAACCCTAGTCCAACACAAAGAAACAGTACGTATCTCAAAGTACATGTTCAATATCTGTACATGGGTGGGCAGATTCAACTTGGACCAAGTCGGCATAGCCTGCGATAGACCTGCCTTGCCAAAATGGCTCTAGCGTACGGCAATCAGCGTCACTGGAAGAGCGTCTTCAACTGCACTCTGACTCTGCGCCACACACCACTGCTTGCTGAGGTAAGTACCTACAAGTGAGAGATGCGGCGGTGGCTACTCCGCATGACCAAACGCTGTTCCAACTCTTTTCTTTTCAACATTTATTTTTGTCTTCTCTCGCTCATCTTCATTCCCGGGCTCAATGCTCCCGTGACGTCGAGTCTTCGACTGATTCGACCTGAGACCAAGCCCAACTACCCCAGCCGCGTCCATTCCCCAACCCGATGCCTCGACTCTCAACCAGGCGTCTTCGCCCGTCCAGCCTCCCTCTTTGTGTTTTACTACCTGGACTGCGGCGCTACTGTACGTCTACCAGTAGGGCAGGTTTGGTGGAGAGAGTCAGGGGGTCAGTATCCGCCCGCCCATTTCAGATTCCCACCCTCATGTTCCTTCACCCATTACCCATTACCCACAACGTACTCCATACACTAGTGCTGGACCTATCCGTACGGAGTACTGGGTATCTGTATGGGTAGCCAGGCAGACAGGATCATCAAGGCAAGCAAGCATCGTGTGCGACCTGGCAATCTGGTTTTCGATTTGCATCAAAGGCCAGACTCCATGTGTCGAAAACCTCCCCCAGTTCGGGGTACGTATCTAAAGACGGATATCTTAGGTACTTCAAGGTAGGGTCCATACCTGAGATGCTCGACCACCTCATTCCAAGCTGGTCGGGGCTTCGTCCAGTCAACCGAGATCACGTATTGGCACTTTTCCACTCGTACAGACCCAAATACCTCCTGTTCCTAAGGTGCTCCGTAATGAGCAGCTCAGAGACGTAAAGTCATATCATCCTGCTCTTCTCCCCAGTGGCGTCCAACAGCGTTCCCAAGGCTTGCGGCCTCGACGACAAGCCACGGGCTGCCAGCAACAGCTTTGCACGGCGCTTGGTCTTAGTGCCCGTCCACTGTGTCTTGGTGATCCCTTGCAAAAGCCAGGTTGTGCTGGCCGGGGTTCCACGGTGTAGAAACAGTTGGGAGCCATGGAGGAAGCCTTGTTCCCGCTTCACCCCGGCCACATTTTGGAAATATACCCTGCAAGCCATCTTGAGGGGGGAAGCCCCCTTGGCCCTTGGCCCCCCACCTACGGGCCCCTTGTGTCTCTTCCCGCGCCCCCATTTTCATCGCGCGTTCCTCCGCTCGATCCTGATTCGGTGAAACAAAATGGATTCGGTTCAACGAGTTGAGCATTCTGTCATGGTCGCATGGGTCGCATGGGTCTCATGGGTCTCATGGGCAATGAATGTGCAGTAAAGCAGATGCACTCTGTGCGAAGCTATAAGCGGGCCGGCGCTGGGCACAGGACTGTTTCTGTAAGTATAGGCTCGCACCTAGGTATTGGATCCGTACTTCCACGCCTGTCAGTGTCAGTGTCAAGCGTGTCAAGCAACTTGGCGTACCTTACCGACTCTTTCGGATAAACGCTGGAAAATGGGATGGACAACCTCAAAGTCTCCTCTTTTCCAATCTGCTGCTTACTAGGGCCATCTTTATCATGTCTTCACCTGGTTCACTGTGGTTTCCCTTCTAAGAAAGCACAAGCATTGCTCGGAGCGGGCGGTCATGAACTGGGACGTTACCTGGGGTAGTAGTACTTGCCCCGTTTCTACGTGGACGTCCTCTGAGTGCCTGCTTCCTCTCCGTCATTCTTTCCTTTCTCGACCTCTACCGTTGCTGCCAATGGTAATTCGGCTTGGATACGTACTTGCTCATTTAGCAATGCTTGCATCTCTTTGCATCAGATACCTTTATCACCAAGAATTTCCCCTTTGGTTTTCATGCTTGACTTCAATTTTTGTATTCCCATGAACAACATCCCCTGGGTGACGATGCGTCTAGCATATCCATCATTCAGTCGACCAGCTCTGCCCCATTACCCGCACCCAACCCAACTTCTCACTCTGCATGCCTAGCCGCAAGAGACTCTACTGCCAACAATCCGCGGATCTAACAGCCCATTTATCAACTGATCCAGGGTACAAGGCTGTGTTGCATCCACTCTACTTGTCCTAAGGTTCGAGACATGCTCGCTGAATACTCCTTCTCGAGTTCTCCGACACAAGACGGAATGCTTCCGGAGATGCATGGTAAAAGGGTACGTATTACAGCAATATCTCGCGATGCTATATGTTTACACAGTGGCCTTGATTGATTGTCTTGGGCTGTCACCTCCATGTTCAACATCGCAGACTCTCACAGTAGGTATTTCTCCAAGAAAGTTAGTGGAAGAGTGGCACAATCGTGTCCAGGTCACCTGCCCAGATCGAGCCCAAAAAATGACGCTGCGGCAAGTCAACAACCAGACCATACGCCGTCCATTCTGAGACCACGATATCCTCACGAATACCGAGCCAATAAATGACACAAGGATCCACCAGATCTCCTCTCGACAGCCACCGCCTAAATATGTTCAGAAGCCCATATGCTTAGCTCTTCGCGGAGTCCGCTCAGACATATGCTTGAGTACAGGTCGAACACCTTAAGACAAAAGACGGCGACCAGGAAATGGGCCGTACTTTTGCACAGCTTGTCGCAGGAAGCAGCCAGGAATGTCAACAACCCGGGCAAAGTCCACCTCTACCATGAGGTCTCCAACTATAGCGTCAGTATTGGCGGTGGGGAATTATTACGATAATTCTTCCCACACGGTGCGTACTGCCATCCGGAATGCGGTCCCCTTAACAAGCACGACAAGTAAGTGTCCTGAGAAACCTCAATTGCGCACACGGTGGCCAGCCTGCTTGGTACCCAGCATTACACAAGTCCCATTCGTCCTGGCTAGGGATGGCGTCCCTGACATGGTACAGATTACTGTAACGGCCCTGTCCACGGAGCTTTTAATGATATCTACCAAATCCTTACAATGTCCACGTTCCACACCGTCGTGTGCATACCGTTTCCTGGATTTGCAGGGATGACGTCGTGGCACCCAGCTTCTCGGAACTTCCACCCCCTTACCTCGCCCAAGCTGGCAACAACTTTTCCGGAACGCGGACGAATCCTGCAAGGAGTCTTACACCACCTTGTTCGCAACCTCGCATTACGTACCGCAGTAAATGGGAGGAGAACTATCTTGCGCCTTTACCGCGAAAGCATTACTTGATCCATCATGACAGCACATGCCTGGAGGCAGAACTTGACCAAAACACGACCTTCTCAAGACAGCTTCCAGTGGTCCAATTCGTCATGAGCTGTCAGAGACACACCAGCCGCAATACTGGTTCTCTCTTGAAGATAGTTCCGGAATTCGAGCACGTATCCGAATAACTAGCTTTGGCCTGCAGCAAAGCGGTGTAAAGTGGTAGGCTGCTGATGTTAGCCAATTGAATACTAGGCTGACGACCAGTGCAGACCGGGGCACGATGCCTGCTTGTATCCCAGCCTGCAATGAGCACATGGCTTTCGGAACCAAAGGACTGGATCTTATCTGCGGCCCCCTCACTCATCGTCCGCCCTTTTGTTTCACTCTGGAACGAGAGCTCCCGTCGTGCGTACCACGAGAAACGAGAGTTCTCAGACGGTTTCTACATACATGGGAAAGGGATCCGTTGACTCGAGAGACTAAGAATATGTGTATCGCCGTGGCTCTCAATGAATAGAACGACACCGCCGGACCAACGAGGCCTTGCATCAAAGGTGCCACTGGCAGCATACCACTCCTTCACGGCCACGGCCATATCACGGCCATGTATTCGCGTGGCGCTAATTGCCCTTTACCTCACAGATACGGATGCAAATCCCTGGGCATTAGAGACACCTCTTGTGCCCAACACGTCCAAGATGTGGTCCCAGGAGCCTGGGCACACCTGTACGGTACCAAGCAGCCATTAAACCCCGCCTACAGCGGCAAACGGGTCTTGATCCATTTTCAGCGCATGTTACCAACCTCCTTGAAACGGCACCACAAGAATCGTTGACAGGGGCCTTGGAATGGCCTTACTATGTAGTCTTCCTAGGCTAATCAGACGGAGTCGAGTGCGAATAAACGAATCACAGTGCACTTTTGCAGCGGCCGACGCGATCCCTGGGTGTCGAGGTCCCATGTCCAAGGGGTACGAATCATCCGAAGCCACGGTTCCAATAGCCTGGGACCGATCGGCACCAGCGGTGTTATTTCCAGGAGATGGGGGCGGTCGAGGAGCTACCCTGGCCACCTTTGTCTGTTCGCCTTTAGCACAAGTACTCTCCAGAAGGGTTCCCTGCAATCTTTGTCCCGCGAGGTCCCAGCCCGGAAAAGCGTGGAGGCGTTCGAGCCGCCTACCTGGGCTCACACCGAATGGTTACAGTCACTGGTCAATGAGAGAATCAGTGGCACGCCTGCCCAAGTCCTTAGCAGTCGAAATTGGACTCGCGATTCTTTCCAGCATGGTCGTGTTGGACCGAGACGATGGATGGGCTGTGTCTTGGTCCTAGCTGGGTGATTGGTCGTTGCTGGCTCGGTTCCACGACTTTCCCGCTTCTGTTCGGGGCTGCATACCAAAACATCCCGGGGTCCGTGGTAATGTCTGAGGCTGATGTCGGGGTTAGATGAGCTGGCAGCGGTGATGACGCTTCTCGACCCTTGACCCCTGGGACTAACGACCCGACACTCTGGTTCTGCATTTGCCCGCTACTCACCCCGGCGTCAGCCACGACTGCGGAAGCCTGTCAACTGAGTCACAACCTCACAGTCTGGGCGGGAAGAACAACGAAAGGAAGACGAGTGGGCCTGTGTGCGAAGCCGAGCCTCCGCGGACGACACGCTGCGAGAATTCCAAGCATCTCCTATCTTGTCGTGTTCCAATTTGCCGGGTTGGCGAATCCTTGCCCTGAGCCAGAGCAGGGTGCATTTGCTCACACACCATACACACACACGCGCGCGCATCACAGTAAATCTCGCTCAACCGGAACATGACGAAGACCAGCCGGTACCAGAGCAATGGAATGATCAATGTAAGAAAGCACCCTCTGCCTGGTGACTGAGGTATCAACTAGTCTCTAGACCTCAGGTGGTATGGACGGCGCCAAACCTTAATCGAACATGATCGGTGATATGGAGGGACTTTTGCAACCAACTTCTGGTCGCCTGGAGGGCCTAGCGTCTAGACACGACGGTCAAAATTTAACTCGCTCGAGCTCGAGTCACCCGAGTCTTCCCCGCACGCGGAATTCATCTGAAGTTACTCGTAGTTGTCAGCCAGAGGCCAGAGCTTGATCATGGCTCGACAATGAGGCGAATAGTTCAAAGCCAAAGGCGGTATAACGATCGCCTGGAGCTCAGGACGATAGTGCACTGTAGTGCCATGAGGCGGCCGCCATTTCTCTGCGAACAAGTTATCTGCACCGACGTCTCTGTCAAGCAAACGGGGCGAATGCTTCTGGCGGTCCTACAGAGTACCAATTGCCATGGAGGGATGCAAACAGTTGGAGTCGGAGCTACCGCATATCCGCGCTGTTGTTCTACTGTATTCGGAAAGCATTCGGATATCGTCCAGCCATACTCCGTACAGATAGACGTTGGTTACATCGTTTGACGAGCCAGGCAGGCATCGGTGTTGACGCGCAGCAGTCGAGCATCCAACGGGGTTCGGCGGGCATCCCAGTCTTTGCTAGGTCGCTGCATAACGGCAACAAGGGGTTGCTTATTGGCAATTTTTTGACCCATCCAGACAAGCAAATGGATTGATTGCCTATTTCTATGTATGTACTCAACCCCTGCCACACTACCTAGACTAACGGGCCTCGGGGACTGGTCACCCAACGCACCTGAATCTTTCCATCTTTCCCTATAGGATGGCGCAAGTCAATGTACTCCAAATCAACTTGGCATGGTTCAACCCTGATGGGCAGTCTGGGTCAGGTTTTCGGCAGTTGATGCGCCAAAAGAGAATGGTTTGTCCAGATTACCTGCGCAATCCGGCGTGCTTCAGTCTTCAACCAAGCCAGGTTTGACGTAGGTTGTCATCAACGGATAGCCGGATCTTGTCATACAAGTGGCGTGCAGGCAGCAGGGCAACATTCCTGAGGTTCTAGTGGCGACCACCGCTGCACATCTTGGAGACAGAGGACTGAAAACCAGGGTGCTGTTCACCGGAGCTTCTAGGACAGGTTCAGCGAGGTTACATCAAGTTGGCTCCCTTTCACTTGATCCCATGCTATCACAGCAGCGGTCAGGACTCGCAGGGCGGCTATGGCTGGGTACCGCCGTTGAATCTTGCCTGCCGATCACAATGCGTCAAGAGGATAGGCGATCTGCTGCGCCGCCAACGTCGGCGCAAAGGCGCAAACATCGAATTTCTGTTGGAGAACAGGCTGAGCTAATCGCCTCACAATGTGCATCCTAGATCCTTGCCTGGTCGATACTCCGTCCTCAATGCGGTGAACCACCCGTCATTTAACGACACCCAAATGGCACCGAATACGATTGCAATCTGCGGCATGATGATCACGCAGACAGCGCAAGTGTGACCTGGCAAGACAATCAACAGGACCGCGGCACAGTCCAGCGGCAATCTATCACAGCCCGGCCATGGGCCGGAGTCACAGCCGCTCCCTCCAATCATACTCCTTCTCTTTCTAGTAGCAAACCGAAGCTGGTGCGAGAAACAACGAACAACAAAATTCCCGAGCGAAGCTGGCCGGCAGGGAATGCGATCCCAGACGCCATCCTGCAATAGCGGTTCCGAGCTCTCGGGTCCAGGTTCTGCGCCAGCACGCCCTGTCCTCTAGTCTTTCGAGAATAACTAGCACAAGGTGCGTTTCTCAATTGGTCGTTGACGTGACTTTGTTTGTTCACCAGTCAGCATTGTTACATCATCTCATCTCATCTCAAAAGACGTTTCCATACTCGGTGACGGTTGAGGACAATGCTTGCCAAGAGGGCTACAACATATTTGGCAGCAGACTGTGGAAGCCTTTGATGGGGTGATATTGTATATATTGACAACGACTACCTTACGAATGTTTACTTCGGAAGGTATATCGGCCTATTGGTGGAAGCGCTGTGAAATTAATTTCGGCGTCCACGTTAACGATGCGGCTCTACACTGTTCTGCAATTAGCTAACCAACTCAACCAAACAGATCACCGACTAGTAAGCCATATCGAGACAGGATGGAGTAGCGACTGACTGGTGTGAAGCTCAATACCTGGCCAAAATTCAAAAAGCCCTCTACCGGCTCCTTTGAGGCTGGCCGAGAATCATTCGTCACGGATCCCAAAGCTGTCCAACGATGACGAGCTGTGGTATAGCTGTGGTATCAGACCACCAACCATTCGACGCGTCGGTAGGCGTCTCAAAATAGCTATGGCTATTCCCTGGTTGATGGAAGAAGGATGAGCAACAATAATCCAAAGCGAATTTTAAGCGCCCTTGGTACAACTTGGTTTCCACTTCTATAATAATCAAGCACGAAGGAATACATCACAAACAAACCAGGCGTGTCGCCCATTTGTCGAAAGTGGAACCATGCCTGTCGTGACATGTCGGAGTACGGATGCCCTGGCCGGTCTTGGTGCGCTGTATGCGCATCGAGGACCCTCAACGGGCCGTACCACGGCGTGTGTACACGTGTTTGAGGCTCGCATGCGAAGTGCACTCACCGATAGTGGCCTATACGTATCACCTAGAGCCTTCTTCATACGGAGTACATAGTCTGTCGATGCATGCTACACATTTCCGATTGAGTAATTGGGAACGGCGGGGCTCAAGAGGCCGGACGTGAAAATCGCCAGTGGACCTCGACGAGAAGAACTCGACGATCGGTGGCTCCATGGGCCATTCCACTATCCACACCTCTCCAAGGGATTTCCGTTGATGAAGCGAACCTCAAACGGTCATGCAATCTAAACGAAACCCCGCTGCACAAGACCACGGGGGTTTGCACGAATATCCATCGCAGCTTCGTTAAAGGAGGACAGCAGTGACGAGCATTTCCTCCTGTAACACAGGGCAGAGCGCTTGAGTAAACACGCGGCTACGGTGAGGGTCACATACAGGTGGATGCCTTTTGAAGGGCTGCTTGCTGACGATCCCATCAGATTATGCTCGCCGCTGCTCCATTGGCCCCATCAACCCATAGGCCGGGTTTTGGAGAGGTCATCACCTTCAAGGGTCCCATGATGGGCTCTCCGGTGATTGCTCGGTGCTCAAGCCCGAGGAGCCGTTCGTTGACGATTGACGGGCCCTAAGGTATGCGGTCTTTGCTATATTCTATCCGCAGGTGCCCGGAACTACGGATGGATACACTGCAAAGTCACAGCTCTACGGACTTGCCATTCGAGTTTTTTTCAGTCTTACGGTTTTGCCAGTACCTTTTTTTTTTTTTTTTGCAGAATGCAACGTCGGTACTTGGTCGGTATCCACCGAGTCGGAATAAAGCCGAGATGGGTAGACGCGATTTGCTCCCGGATTACCCCTATCCCTCTTTTGGCGCAACGTACATTGCGAGGTTGTACTGTTCGTGGTGAAGAACCAAACTTTTCCCTTTCATCGGAAAGCGGAATACCGGCCACCTTGAGCCATGGTTCACTTCACTCTCTGTCCCTCGGGTTAATCTGGCCCAGGCTCTACGGATACGTAGGTTTTCCAATGTCCTGTGGCCGATGAGATCGATTGTCTGCCCATGGCAATCTGGCTGCCCCATGGGCCCCTGGGCTCGACTCCCTTGGATAGCCGAGCCGAGGGACGCGAGCTGGAGGTTTTGTGAGGTCATCACTCCCGAGGACGAACCATATCGCCATGGAGCATTGGAGGTACGAATCGAGTCGATCGTGCTCCTGTCGGGAGCGCGGCGGAAGCCGACTCCCGGGTCCCGGGGGCCCGCCTATTAAGGATAACTTGTGTGGCGTTTGCGTTTGCTATGAACCGCTGTCCCTCTGCTGGTAGTCTGTAGAGTGGGGTGTTCATGGAACGAACCGGTGGTTCGGTGTTTCGGTGTGCTTTCAACGCGGAAGGGAGGCACTTTATCTGGGTTCGATGCTTGAATCGGAGGATTCAAGCTTGGGGCTAAAAGAGATCTACTTGGGATCAGTCATCTAGACGAGAGAACACCTTCAATATCACCCCTGTAAAACACTCTACGTACCCTTTCAGATACTCAAGCACCACATCTTGGGGTCTGTTCCTTGGGTCTTTGGCTCAGATACTGTGAGCCTCAGTTTTCAGCCCTGCTCGCACCGTTAATCCATGTCTCCTACTTAATGAACAGGCACCTGGAGGCGAATGGCTCGAAGCACCCCCTCCTCCTCCTGTCTTCTTTTGCTTTGAAGTCTATAACATCTAGCTATGCTGAGTTGATGTTGGTGACCAACCACATACACATCGATGACGTGCGGCAAATCTGCCATCTGGAGACACCTCTGGATAATTTGTGCCGGGGGAGGAGGCCACCGGAGATTTCAGGCTGTGTGAAAATGAGACTGAGACCGAGGGACATGTCCAGCAGAGGATAGACCTGACCGCCCCCATCCGCAAGTGCGAGATAGAGCACGCAAGAGGCTTTAACTCCCCGCCACGAGGAATGTGAACCTCGCTCCACGGGACGGATCGAGCGGGCTAGACCGGCATCACAGACATCACCTAAAATGGCTTGCTGGCTGGCTAGCTTGGTACCCCGCCGACGTGGCTGACACCGGGGGCAGTATCGATCACACGTTTGCACTTCGATCACCTCTGTGCCTCTCTCCTGTCTCACTCACCCATGGCATCTTGTCAAAACGCCATCACAGGAGGAGGGAGTTGTTTTGGAAAGGAAGAAGCCGCAAGGGCAAGTTAGAGTTTGAAACAGAGACATCAAGGCGAGTACGGAGTAGAGAAAGAGAGAAACAAATTTCATCAGGTCTGGTTTGATTTGATTCCAAAGACGGCACGGCACACTGCCGAAGTTTTCACATGATTGTATAGATGTCACTCATGTGAGAGGGCACGAGGTGTAAGGGGTGAGTGTAGGGTGAGGGTGAATGGGGTTGAGGCCGTGGGTAATATAGTCATGGGAGTACATCGTCAGGTTAAGACAAGACGGCAAGGTACGTTTCACAAAGGATCAAGTCGACTGATATTGGGACATTTCACTTTCAACACACTAAGACCGAGTAGCGGGCCGATAGATATTTAGGGAACGAGCATATTCCGTGGTAGCAGATTCTATTCTAAAGAAATCAGAAACGACTTCATGATTGCTTGCTGTTGTACACGTTTTTTTCTTTTCTTTTTTGGGGGGTTTGAATTTCATTTTGTTGATTGTCTTTTGTCGTGCAATGAAAGAAAGGGGTCTGCTGCATTCCCACCGAGACCGACGGCGTAGAGGAGAAAACCCAATTTGCTCTGATCCGTCTTCTCTATTTGCTTGACTGGAGCGAGTCTTCCTGCTGACCTTTTCCTCCTGTAGAAACCCATCCTCGGTCAAACTTCCCCAAGCTCTCGGTCCCGTAGGCCTCCGGGAACATAGCATGGCCATCGTTTTCCAGAGCATGCCTTCGCACTTCGAGACGCATGTGCCTTTGAGACGCGATGGGCTGCAGTGTGTATGGGCAACAGGTCTGGCTCCCTGATGGTAGTGGGAGACAGAGACCATACTGCGAAGCCAATCTCATTGCATCGCAAACGGTTTCCGAGGCATTGCACTAGGAATTGAGCGTCGACAGTCATCCCGAAAGATAGAAAAAATCAAATTGAACGATGCTGAATTTCTGGGCGTGTGGCTGATCTTTAGCCTCTGCCTTCTGCTAGTCTACAAGATCGAAATTGGGTAGGCAATGAAGTGGTAGTGATAGAATTGGAAAAACTCCAATCCTCACAGGACTGAAAAGCGTCGATTCGTCGTGCAAAGCGCGTCGGGTTCTTTACCACTCGTACTCGCCAGTGGCCTTGTGGAAGACGTACTCCTTGCCGTTGACGGTGAGAACACCATCCTTGAGGACGCACTTCCACTTGTTCTTGACGCGCTGGACCTTGTCGTACATGCAGAGCATGATATGCCCAAGACCCTCATCGTCGACCTCGTCGTCATCCTTGTCTTCATCAGGGTCGTCAAGATCTGAGTTGATTGCGTCTTCGTCAACTTCGTCATCATCATAACCATCGTAACCGGCAATTCCACCATGTTCCTTGCCCTTGGATCGCGCCGTGGCAGCCGACGAATGCCTCGTGGCTTCCTTAAGAGGCAGCATCAAGCCGCCGCCCTCCATGCTCTTGGCATTGGCAGCAATCCGCGCGTGGATCATGCGATCAATATCAACACGTCCAATCTCGCGTTGAGACCCATCAGGGTTGCGTTGGAGCAGAACACCTTCAAAGTCGAAGTCGTCACCAGCACCGTCGGTCTGCGAGGGATTCACACCTGGCTGACCATTGCTAGGTGGACGCTGCTGAGGCTGACCCTGTTGAGGAACTCCTGGGCGATACTGCTGTTGTTGCTGCTGCTGAGGCTGGCCGGGCATCTGGGGCAGAGGCGGTTGGTTGGCAGGCCTGTTGGTCGCCGAGGCTTGTATGGCGTTCATGGAGGCGGCGCCTTTCTCGCCAAACTGACCGCGCACATGTTGAGCGGCTCGGTAAGCTGCAAGTCCAGCGCTATCTTGTTGAGATGGCGGCATCGGCACATTCTGCATGCCAGGCTCCGGCTTGATGTAAGGCTCCTCCTTTACAGGCATGTTACTGGCCTGTTGAGCCGGGTTTCCGCCAGGCAGAGGTAGACCAGGTACTGGGAGTTGCGGACTGAGCTGGGCCTGAGAGTATGGAGCCGCAGGCGGGGGTGCGGCCGTAGTCGGAGGTGGTGCAGGAGGAGCTGGAGCTTCCTTGACGGGGTCCCATGGAAACGCCGCGACCTCGAGTTGAGTGAGTTTTTCCTGCCATCCCTTCTTCAACTCTTCGAGCACGCTCTCATCAACACCACCCTCCTCGAAATCGACCCGAGAAGAATTTATCACCTCATCGATGATCTGTGAGTAGACGTTACCCACCGCGTTGTTAGACATGGTGGCGTTTGTTGGTCGTCGTTGTTGTCGTCAACTATGTGTTTGTCGAAGAAAGTAGTGTCAAGCTTCGGTACCGGCGAGACGGATGTGCGAATCTTGTGGTCGCGCCTTCTCCAACCTGGTCCCTCCTTCCTGACTGTTAGACTTAGTTGAGAAACGAAGTCGCAGAAATGGTCGAGAGTATTCAATCGAAGTCCGCCTTCACAAGGTTGCTCTTGGGTTGTCGATGGGGAACCGCCTGCTTAGTCCGCCACTTCTCGCTGCCCAAAATGGCATGCGCCTGTGTAAAATCGGTAACGGCAAATATGCAATCGATTGCTGAAGAGGTCTCGCTGGTTGCTATCGGGGAATTTAGATGTAGGCAGGGTGTCTGGCTGGGCCCTGTTTTTCGCTTGGTAATGTGTACGGGTCAAGATTGCCTTTGTTCGGTGGGTTTCGTTTTGAGGCTCGAAGCAGGCGCTCGCCTATTAGTAAGCTTAGGCGGCAGCCGCACGGAGGGAAGGCTGAACTCAGGCACCTGCCAACTGCAAACTGCCCGCAAACTGCCCGCGCGATGATCGCTGAAGGATCCACACTTCCCGCAGGAACTGATAAGGCCTTAATTAACCCGATAAGCTACCTGAGAAGTGGATTGAAGTTGGAATGCGGGGTGTAAGCCGCACCTCAGGTCTTCGACAAGCAACTCTGGTCAAAGAAACTTAACTTGCTGCACACCTCAGGAACAATGGAATATTGAGCAAATATGGTCGTCAACAGACGGAATCAAAGTATTGACACGAGAAGAAGTTAAAAACCAGGTTTTCTTCATTGCAAGAGCGGTCCTTGTCACTTAACCACGGCCGTCTTCTTTAATACTACAGCACGTCCCTGACGATGCATTCCTTCGCAAAAACAAGCATTACAAATCTGTCCCATGCTAAACAGCAATGAATGATATCTTCTGTCGTTACTCATGACCAAGCAATTTCGTTTCCCGTGGAGAAGCCCTTTCGTGCCACGTAGAGTCGGATGCAATAAAACCAAACTCCTCGCTGAAGATGACCCCAACCGCCAGGAATCCATGACCGACAAATGCCAGAGGAGATATACCTACATTTATTGACGTCGTTTGACCGACATTCGCCAGGCTTGGTCGATGGTGGACCGT